ATTCTTTCAGTGTTTCAAATTAGCTCTGTGCATCTATTCCCGTGACCCTCATTCATGACCTTCGCCTGTTCTCTATTACCTCTTTTCCTACCAGGTGCGGAAGTCCTGACTGCCAGTACTACACGGGCTTTGTCCTCAGAGACAGACAGTGTCGTGCTGAGCACGACAGTCTCCCCCAGTCGGCGGCTTATCGACTGGTTCAGGGCGTGCCGAGTTTACCGTGTTCACGCTCACGCCCGCCCCGCGCTCACTGCCGCCTCCGACGGCAGCTTCCACGGGCGGGCTGCAAAGGCTCGCGCCCGCAACAGACTCAGACAGCAACTCGCTGGCGCGGACAAAAGTCCCTGTTCCAAGTCAGTCTGCAGAGGCCAATGAAGCATACCTTGTGAATGTCTTTCTCCTAACTGACCTGAGTCAGAACACAACAAACCGCTTTCAAAGGAGTAAAAACTGTAACAGAATCGACTGGGGAAAAGCCCGTGGGGTCCGGCTCACCCACGGAAGGTAGACGCCCCCAGATGCAGCTTGGGGGTCAGCCAATGGCTGTGAGCGTGTCTGGCTAACACGCTAACCACGAGAAAGGAGCAAGAGAACGTGAGAACGTATTACGTACTAAGAGTCAGAAAAACGGAAAACTAGAAAGGTAAACAACTGGCGCTCCATTGTGGAAGCGGCTGAAGGGAGCCTGCAGGGTGTCGACTACCGACGGTCCGCTCTGGGGTTCTGAAGTCGCGATTGTTTGGTCTCTGAATCCACTTACTCGAGTCTCTCCAGTTTCGTTAACGCCTCCTGGTGTGCGGCATTTAACTGCTGCATTTTGTCCACAGAAGATTTCTATCAAAGCAATTTTAATAACTTCATATTAGTGTTTTTCAACATCATCAGTGGCATTTAAAAAGCTGTGGACCAGTACAGACTGCGAAGTGCTTACTCGCCCCAACTTTCACCATCAAATCAACAAATCTAGGACAGAAGTGGCATCTGTGACTGTGAACCTGGGTTTCTGCACTATTCACCCCGTGGATGTTGTCATGTCACACGGTCAGGCACCGTGTGAGGTGCCAGGAGCGACACCCAGGACTACGGTTCCTGGACCGAGCAGCTCGGTCTCCGTGAGAGTCAGATACACGAAGGTGAAGCTCCCGCAGCTGTGACGGTGCTGGATGTGACACCCAGCCCCGAGTCATGGCTGGGGAGGGGCCTCACAGAGGGCTCTGCAGAAATGACAGAAGTCTGAGCTGCGTCCTATGAACGGGGAGGAGCTGGCCAGGCCAAGCTGCGCGTGTCTGTGTGTGAGCTGGCATATAGCTGTGCAGGCGTGAGCGTGTTTGGGAGGGAAAAGTCTATTGTGACTCGTGCGAGCGCTGATCCGCGCGGCTCGGTGTGGCTGGGGCCGAAGCTCTGCCTGTCTGCTGTCACTGGTGCTTCTCTGATGCACCCAAACTGAGGACAGATGGGAATGAGTCACAGACGACCCAAAATCTTTCCAAATGTTCTAAACTAATAACAAAATCTGTTTATCTGTTAAAGTGATTTACTTAAACTGAATCTTATGATGCAGTGTGGGGCGAGCAGGATAAAATATCCAGTCAGGCCATCACTTAAAAAGCAAAATCTGAAGCCTCGATTAAGGAACGCTACACTATTAAACGTCCCAAAAAAATGTGGATTTATCACTGTTCTTCTCTGACATTTCCTAATATAGGAAAACAAGCCCCAACTACAAGATTAAAACAGAGAACCCAGCCTCTCCGAATGCTGCTTAATATCAAAGAAAATCTCAAAAAAAAAAAAAAAAGAAAGAAAATTTCATTGTGAGACACACTTTCCAGGACCTAAAGTCTGCAACTCCATAGGGACATGAAATCAAATCTGATTCTACATAGTTACCTGTGACAACCATTTCAAAAGATATCAGCAGCTCATAAATGCCGTTACTGACCTGGCACGCGACCCCAAACACCTGGGCACTTACGTATTGCCAGAGAAACTCCATGTAGGTCTCACGGCACGAGTCCCTGAAGTGGATGAAGTTGATGATGCCACTCAAAAACCGACTGGTCCGTTTTGCTTCTAAAATGGAAAGCCAGACTCCTTAAGCAGAGCTTTGCAACAACATAAAGATGACAATGCGTCCTCTTGCCATGTACTCTGCTTATAGGACGTAGAATAAAGCTGCGTGACGCCGACTGCTGGCACCCACGCTCCCCGGTCTTTGCTTCATGGTGAAGCCTCCGTTACGTGGGCCTAAACGGGCGGGCAGAGCCCGCCATGCAACCTCACGGCTGGCACATTATCGGTATTCATATTCTCAAATTTACGGAACATTTCTCAAATGTAAGGAATTAAGAACTACGCAGAAAAATAGCTTTTCTGTGGCTCTATGAAGGACAACATTCCAATATCACGATATAAAAAAATGAATCCTTAACAATGGGATACGCTTTCTAAGACCAATTTCCTTTACATTTATTAAGGGAAAGGTAAAATGTTAGATCGAAGCCAGACATTAAAAGCTGGTCAACTCCACTCACTTGGATACAGAATATCAGCAGTCTCGAAGTCGTTCACCCGGCAGATGGGCAGAAATGAGTTCCTGGACGAGGCGGAGAGAGCATTAAACATCGTCGTGAGTTACGCACTGAGGCAGAGAACCCACACATCTGACTTTCAAAGGGATCCCTGGACGTATTTCTCAATGTCAAAGGACGAGGTCAGAGGTCTACTACCACATGACCCCACAGCGCTGAACTCTGCCGCTTCCTGCATCACACAGGTGTGCATGTAACACCAAGGTACGGCAACAGGACCTAACGAACGGCACACACGCGTGGACGTTCTGGGACTCTAAGAATGCAAAACCCTCCGAAAATGTTACATTCGCACCTTAACACTGCAGTTGAAAGCAGAATTAAAAGTGGACAGGGGGAGGCAGCTAGTTATGTGGGCCGAAAGCCTGCAGTTCTGAATATGCATGCGATGGAGTGGGCGGCAAAACAAACGGTAGAAATTCCCTCAAGAAATCATGTCGTCAAGCAAGCCTAGCATCACGGAGGTGTGAATCTGACTAAGAAAGTAATGCGGCTCTACTCACAGATAGATGAATAAATTGCTGACTGGTAAGAAGCCCTCCATTAGGTGTGGATACATGACATCGGAGTTCACGGGCATCTAAACGGAGTAAATCACAGAATCTAGATTACACACTAACTCGTCAAAATTAGAAAAACCTCCAATTTCAAGGAACCTCAATCATAAACTAAGATCAAATCGTATTAACTTATTATCGCGAAACTGAAAAAAACTTAACGACACAGATCCTAGCACAAAACTAGAGCTGTCGCTAATGCCAGGTTCACAGTGGCTGCTTGACGAAGACGTCTTGAAAGGAGGACAAAATGAAGGGGTGACGGCTGCGAGTCACTAAGTGCCGGGCGCCACCCGCGCTAGTGCGTTGCGAGGCCCCACGGGAGTGACGGGTACACTTTAGTGTGATGGCAACAGCAAGAGGGAGGACAGGGCCCCGCTGCCAGAAACCCCTAATGGAGCCCCACGAGCTGAGCTCGGCTGCCCACGTTCAGCTGCTTCCGGCCTCGGTGCCGGCCGCTCACGCCTGGGGCCCTTCGTGGGGACAGTGCCCGGCAGGACTCGGCTGGTGCCTCTTGGTCTCTGAAGACAAGCCTGTAAGTCTGTGCGTATAACTGCCTAACGTCAATAACTGGCCACTTAGGTCTGGCACTGCAGCTTGTCTTCCTAAGTCTATCAATACGGACCACCGCTCGGCCTCGGATTCCTCCATAAGTGACATCAGTTTTACATAAGCCTTTGACTTTGTTCAGAAGAATTTCCTGCCCTGAAAACCTGCTCGCTCGCGACGGGGGACGGCGGCGAACCCACCATGTAGAAATGCTCCAGGCGCGTCCCGTACACGATCTGCAGGGCCCGCAGGTAGATCATGTGCAGGACCTCGGGCTGCAAGAGAGAAGGGCTGGTCAGTGCTGGGTGCCTGAGCCCCGGCTGCGCCAACACGCGACGGAACGGCTCCGCTTCCCTTGGGACGCTGCTGACATTCTCCGAGCTTTGAGGCGCCTCACACACTTCAGTTCGCTCGCACGTGGCATGTGGCACGTGGCAAGGCTCGGCCACTGAAGCACACGTGCATGACAAGGGCAGCAGCCACGTCCGATCCAGCCAGGCAGCCCCCACAGGCCGCAGGCACGCTGGCGGCGTTTTCATTTAAAAAAGAGCCCGGAGCCCGTGTGAGGCCTTAGACATGCAAGGAAAGACTGTGAGCCAGGGCGGGGTGAAGACAATGGAACAGGGCCGCGTGCGTCTCCTCAAGTCTGCCTTCTAGACGAGCACCCCCAAACACTGGCCTGCACGACCTGCTCTGATCCGTATGCTGAGCCCGTCCCTTCCACTTTGAATAAAAGGGGCATCAAGGTCAAAAGTTAAGCCACGTCATTAAACCAGGGTTTATTACGCTATCACGTCAAGACCAGCCCAGGAAACTGGAAGGAGACTCTGGGATTTTCCATGACACACAAATAGTTCATTTTTGCATTTAATAACTACAGGTATAAAGAACAGTGTCTGTCAAAACAAGTCAATCCCCCCCTTGGGGCGTAATGCAAGAAAATTAATCTGTGCGCTTCCAAAGAGAGCTGTTTCTAAGCACTTTTTTGTGGTTATAAACCACGCAGAGTCATTCCTTCAAGCCCTACCCTTAAGTGACACCCTCGTCACCACACCAATAACAACCAAAAGTTTAATATACTTTAATACGTCTTTGGCTTAGAAGCTTTTTTTTTAAGAAATGACATTAAAAAACTGAACTCAGAGAACACAGAAGTCCCCCACATTACCAGCTGCTATTTTAAATTACAGGAGTTGAGAGATTCCCCTCGATTAAAATGACCAGCCCGCATCCAACAGCTGGGGACATGCCCTTCTCCACGAGCTGCGGACCTAGGAGTTTCACCTGTCTCCAGACACGACCTCCACATGTAAACACAGCCATGCCTCACCTTCGGATTGGGATAGAGATCATTTTTGGAGAGGTTTTTACCATCGGCTCCTGTTAAGATTTTGTTTCGGATATGAGTCACAATCTCGGCTACATTATATCTGGGGAAAGACAGAGTTTCCATCTTGGGAGTCTCGGCTCGTCAGAAATGGCACGGCCAGCACCTCTCGTCACCTGGAAGCCGATAAACACAGGGACAGAATTAGCAGCCCAAGCCTGACGCAGTCACAGTAGTGCAGCAAAGCATCCTCGTAAGGCAACACGAATTTTATGTAACATAGCTCCTAAAACAACTTTTATTCTGAATTAACGCAGTCATTTTCTAATTTTCCTAACGCTGTTCTCTTTCACATGGGAAAGAGGACTTTGGCTGATCAGATGAGAAACCAAATTTTTCTCCTTTAAACATGAGGGGCACAGATCCAGCAACATCGATCCTGAGAATTCATCCTCAAAGCAAGATACAGGCAACAATGTCAGTGGGACTGATGTGTAAACAACAGCAACACAGGGTAGATGATGAAACTGTGCTCGGATGGGACATTCTACTCAACGGACACGTAGCGAGATGGCCAGTAAGGTTTAAGACGAAGGTAGGAAGAGAGAAAAAAGCCTAGAGTAAGAACGGATGCTGTCACTGACAGGAATTCTAATCCCGAGTCCGCTAACGCCCTCTGACACTGAGACAGGCCCGTCTGTGTCCCCCTAGAGCAATAGTTCTCACGATTTTGGTTCCCAGGGGATCTAGCCACATCCAGAGACGTCCTGGCTGTCGGGAAGGGAGGGCGGTGCCCCTGGAGCCCTGTGGGCAGAGGCCTGGCGTGCCGCTGAACCTTGCCCTCCTAACTGCCTCAGCATGACAGGAGCAGCAGCAGAAGCCGCTACCGCAGCCCCTGGGCAACCAGCACCGCGTCAGCACCTACGGCTCCCCACGCTCTAGGAAGGCCGCGGGGTCCCAGAGCGCCAGCCGACGGGCCCGCGATCTTGGGAAGTTATTTCTTTAGGCTCCTCACGTTTCTTAGAACATTCGGGTTCAAAAGAACCTCCAGTAAATTAGGAAGCCAGTTGTGTATGAACACCTGCCAACATCACAGAACTCACTAACTCTCTAAACAACTTTCTCCACCTTTGTGCACCTCTGAGAATTCAAAAATGCTCCCTCACACTGCAGAGATGTTTGCTGTAACTGCTACTTACTGGCGCTGTCTCCACCCACAGCTACACGGGTACATTCACCACTTACAGGACTCCCCTTTCAAAGAGGGGAGGGAAGCTATCATGTCTGCTCCGCCAGCCCCCTTTGTCTGAGTACAATTCAGGTACAGACACGCCTTACGTGACGCTGTTTTAGAAACTTCAGCATGCTATTCATTTTCCTGTAGAACAGATGACTTCACCAATGTCCTCTTAAAATGTTATGCTCAAACAGGGCACAGTGTCAGCATCGGTGGCCGTGGCCACTGCCCAGCTGGTCTCCAACTGCGGCACTTCCTGACGGACACAGAGGTGAGCACCCGGGAGTCCCACGACTTTCTCAGTGGGACCCCCTCTTCCCAGGCCGGAGTTTCCCACATTCTCCACCACTGAGGCTTTGAACCTGAAGCAGGGATGTGCGTTTCCTATTACTGAGCTTCAGAATTCCAAGCTTCCATTCCATAGGCAACATCTTTTTGAATCCAAATTCTGACACCTCACGTATTAGATGTCAGCATAAATATGCATTCTGTATTTTCATCTAAGTCACAGACTTAAAAATCGTTAATAAAAAAGACTTGACCAAAGCAAGATTGCAGAGAAAGTCGCTTTTCTGAAACGAAATGTATCTGGATTGGAGATGGTCACAGCAGAGAGGGTGGTATGAAGTAGCTTCACAATCGTCACACGGCCCTTCTGTTATATCCTGCACTGTCACATTGATCCTTATAAAATACCCAACGCATCAGGTAACAGCTTTACAAAAATACCGCAAATAACGCCCCCACCTGCACCTGTCAAATTCAAGATTTCCCGTTTACTTTCTAAATATAACGATCTAATGAATTTTCTGTTCCTTGTGTCTCCTTCAAGACGCTTCCCAAACTTCCAATGCTTTTGCAATCACCTCCCACATTCAGTTTCTTCTTCTTTTTTTCCGATTTCTACCTTTGAGAGGAGAATCTCAGTTCCAATTCACTCCTGCACGTTGCGGGGCAGGAGCGAGCGGGGAGCGAGGCAGGGGACGGTAGGGGCCGCCCTGCCCCAGCGAACCGGTCCCGCCGCGCTGCACAGGTGCGCAGGTGTTTCGCCAGCAGCAGGACGAGGCGGCTTCGCGGCCCCACGCGCTTTGTCGCGGTGGCCTGGAACCCCCGCCGCAATACGTCTCAGGTGTGACCACGACCCACTGTGTGCCAAGTGGCCGCAGGATTAACCGCCCGCCCCCCTCGGTTTCTCATTTATTTGCAACACCTGGACGCCGCGCGGAGGCGGTGTTGCAAGGACACCTGTAGAGTGACACTGTCCTGCTAACAGAAGCGACTTGTGGCAGGCGCAGGCCCAGAGGCAGAGACGGAACGGAAGCAGGCGGCCCCGACGCCCAGCCCCACTGCACCGGCCTCGCCCGCGCCCGCGC